GTTCATTAAAATTAATAAAAAAATTAAAAATTAAAAGAAGAAGAAGAACTCAAACCACGGAGAAAAACTTCTTAGTAAACTGTTTAACACTAGATTGGGAACTTTCTCAGTCCTAAGAAGATCCACTGCTTCTCTGACAGTGTACATTACTCAAGAAACTTTTCTTTCAATCTTCCTCTCAATAAACTTTCTTTCCTCCTTAAAAAAAATAAATAAAAGGGGTACAAGAGAGATAGAGGTACAAGGTATACAGTAGAGGAGCCTGGACATTATCCAGAAGGCAATGAAAGTAACATGATGTCACACAACTTTGTTGTTTCCTCCATCCGATTCTGTTTCTTGTGGAAAATCTACTACCTTTAAGTCAATTATAATAATGCAAAACTCCCTTAAGATTCTGAGACAGTAAATCTTAAAGGAAGGAGACTATTCACCTTCCTCTTAAAGAGCAGTGAATAGATTTGTTCCACTGACCATTCATTTAGTAGAACAAGAACTCACTTTGACAACAGAGATTCGTTCTTGAGATATTGTTTTTGTAAAGTACCGTTAAGTCAGAACAGACTCATAGAGGACCTCAGGGGGTTTTCAGAGGCAGTAAATTGTACAGGAGAAGATTTTCCATCTTTCTTCCTCAGAACAGCTGGTGGACGTGAGTTGAATTGAGTTGAGTTGAGTTGGCAACTTTATTTCTTAACCACTTAGCCACTAGACTTCATTCTCTTGAGAAAAAAGAGTGATATATTTACATTATCAAGAACCATCACAAGCCCTACCAAAAAATGTAAACATATGCTAGTTTTATTTTCCTTTTCTTCCTGGTATTTAATTTTTGATTGATTTCTTTTTTCCTTGTTTACTTACAAAGTTTGTATACATTGCATTACATACTTGATCTTTCCCATTTCCTTTACCACCCCTCGTTTTACCCATCAAATTGTGTGAATCTATGATTACCCCCCTGCCCATTCTCACCTCTCTGCTCTTATCCTTCCCCACTTGGATGCTCATACACCTTTTACTAGTTATCTTTCTATTTCTACAATAATGGTCTTATACAGTATTTATTCTTATGAGACTGAGATAGTTCACTTAATGTGCTAGTTCTTAAATCTACCAGACAACTTTTTCACATCATCTTTTTCATTCTATCCTTTATCTTCTGGCTCCAACTATATACAATATGTCCCAGGAAGTGTTTGCTTGTCCTTATCCAAGAAACTCAAGCACTTGTTTACCTTGGATTTCTGGGTTCATGACCATGTAAAGCAGAGCCCAGCGTAGTGTTGAAGAAGTTGTCTCTGTTCCAGCAAAGAAGAGGTCCAGCGTGCTGCAGACAAGGTTTTCTTCATGGAAACTTGAAGTATCATTGCCTGTATACTAGATAGTAAAACCATTACTGATTTGTTTGGAGGGAATGGAGGGAGGACCTGAGGTGCTTACAGCAGAAGATCGAGAAGCAAGGCCTTCAATACAGATTAGATCTCAACAATAAGAAAACAATAATCCTCACCATTGGGACATTAGGCAACATCATGATAGATGGAGAAAAGATTGAAAAGTCAATGATTTAATCTTACTTTGATCCATAATCAACACCATCGACTTCAGTAGTTAGAGGATTAGAAGATATATAGCATAGGAAAAGTCTGCTGTCAGGGACTTCTCCTGGGTTCTGAAGAGCAAAGGTGTCAATTTGAAGACCAAGAAGTGCCTGATTCAAGCTATGGTCTTACTAATCACCAGCTATGGACCTGCAAGTTGAATAACGAATAAGGGTGACAGAAGAAGAATTGATAGCTTTGAGTTGTGATGTTGTAGAAGAGTACTCTGTAGCCCATGGACTCCCAAATGAACAAACAGCTATGTCTTAGGAAAAGAACAAACAAAAATTCCTGTAGAGGCCAGGATGGTGAAGCTTCATCTCACATATTTGGACACGTTGTTAGGAGAAGCTATTCTTTAAAAAGAGACATCATGCTTGGAAAAGTGGAGGGTCAGTGAAAAAGAGGAAGACCATAAATAAGATGGATTGATACAGTAATTGCGGCAATGGGCACCAGTGTGCTGGTGGTGATGAGAATGGTACAAGACTGAACAGGGTTCAGATCTGTGGTTCATGGTTCATACAGTCTCTATGAGTCATACTTGACTCAATAGCATGTAACAACAACATCAACTGGTAATCACAAAGCACATCATCCTGAAGAAAGAATTTAGAAAGAAAAAACAATTCATTACCATTGAGTCAGAACTGATTGATAGCTGACCTTCTATTTATCAGGTTTCCAAGACTATAAATTCTATGAGAAGAGATGGTCCATATTTCTCCTTTGGAGTGTCTGGTGGATTTAAACCACCAAAAAAGCTTGACCTACATTATTAGTGCAACTCTCTACTTACTGACAGACACCACCACCACAGCTCCTTGTAAAAAGAAAGGCCTAAGGAAAAATTATTCTCCTTGTTTTTTACTGAAAGGCAGAGGGTTCTGATAATAGCATCGCTAGCATCATTTTGTTCCAAGGGCTAGAAGTAGATGAAAATAAAAATAATAATTTTCTTAAATCCCTAATTTAAAATGAAAGCAATAGCCAATGAATGGAAACTGGGCTATGAAAAATACAAACGAGTTTCAATGTAAGCTATATTTTCACTACCTGTATGGCATAGGGCAAGCTACTTATAATCTTTCTGTGCTTTAGTTCCAAGTTCTATACAGTAGACATAACTTCTTAAGGCTACATGAAAAGTGACTGAGATGTAAATGATACCCAGTAAATAATCAACAAGTATTTTACAGTTAATTAATACATGTAAAAACTCCATTCTCTTTTTATGTAGTAGATATCTCATTTCCCTGTGCCTTCAACTTTCCTTTCCAGTCTAGAACCCCTCTGCAAGGACACACTGTCATCATCCTCTGGAATGTGTTAGTTCCAAACCTGAGCACCCAATAGCAAGTGCTATTCTCTTCTCTTCCCTCTTTGAAGAGGAAACAATGCTTCTGTCAATGCTGTGCAAAAAATGTGAAGTGAGAGAAGAGATGGAAAGAAATCTTCCAATTACCATCTCCAGGATGAGGATACATCATCTGAAGATTCAAAATTCAAGACTCTGATTTAGAGATTTATTTCAAGCGGAGGAGTCACAGGATCAAATGTAATACATCAAATTTTGTTCCTTCATGTTGTTTAGATAATGCTGTGAAGTACATGATGTTTCTAGGTGCCCGACAACACCTACAGTTGACTAAGACCCATAGCGACCCAGCAGAAGAGAACACTGTCCTATCCTACACTATCTTCGTGATGTCTATGATGTTCAAGCCCATTTCTGCAGTCACTTCAACATCTGGTTTAGGGTCTTCCTCCCTTTCATTGATCTCTATCATTCTTAGAATGTCTTTTTCTAAGTAATGATCCCTCCTGACTATATGCCCAAAGTACGTAAGACCAAATTTTACCATTTTTGCCATTAAGGAATACCCTGGTTTCACTTTATCCAAGATTTATTTTGTTCTTTTTGGCTGTCAGTAGTACATTCAATACTCTTCTCCAAAATTATAATTCTAACACATCAATTCTTCCTCAGCCTTCCTTATTCATTGCCCAACCTTTATGTACACAAGGTTGTTGTTATGTGCTGTCAAGTCACTTGCAACTCATAGCCACCTTTTGTACAACAACCCTGGAACCTGCTCTATCCTGTGCCAACCTTATTGTCTCTGACACACTTGTTTTCATTACCTTAGTCACTGAATCAATCCATCTCATCAATGCTCTTCCTCTTTTTCCCTGTCCCCCCCACCCTTCCAAGAATGATACCATTTTCCAAGGACTGGTCCCTCCTTGCAACATGCCCAAATTATGTCAGATGATGTACTTTATACATATATGTAATATACATACTACAGAATTATGTTTCACCCTCGCTAGGATGAACCTGTTTGTTCTCCTGGCAGTCCATGGTATATTCAGTACTCTTCTCCAGCACCACAGCTAGAAGACATCAATTCTCTTTCTATCCTCCCTAAATAGCAACTGATAATACAATGGAGTGGATAAGAAGCATCTTAATCTGTAAATTGTCTTCCTTGATTTTGCCCAGTGCTGTATGTCTCAAGATTGGTAAATGTGGTGATTGTGGATCCAAGCAAAATGAAATCATTGTCTATTTCAATCTTTTCTCCATTTATCATAAGTCTGCCTATTGGTTCAATAGGGAATATTTCTGTTGATTGATGTTGTGATGTAATCCATATTGAAGGCTGTAGTCCTCGATCCTCTGCAGCAAGCACCTCAAGTCCTCTTTGCTTTCAGCAAGCAAGGCTGTGTCGTCAGTAAAACTCATGATGTTGTTGAATCTTTCTCCAAAACTGATGCCACAGTCTGATTAACTCATTCAGTCAGAAGTCTAGCTTTCTGAATGATTTACTCAGCATAAAGACTGGATATATAGAGAGAAAGGACATGGCCCTGATATAGACCTTTACTGATTCCAAATCATGCAGCGTTTCCTTTCTCTGTCTGGACTACAGCTACTTGGTTTAGGTATAGGTTTCATATAAGCATAATTAAGTTTTCTAAAATTCTCATCAACCTTAATGTAATAGCTATAGTTTGTTATGATTCACACAAATGCTTTTGTATAGTAAATAAAACACAAATTGATTATTTCTGTTTTTAGCCACAATCCACCTGAGATTTAGAGCTTTAGAATCTCCATGCATCAATCCTATTCTATTCCATACGGCGAGGTCTCTACAGTTGGACTTAACTGAACAGAAATAGCCTTGCAGAAAGAGTGGTTTGCTGATTTAATAGGTTCAGAATCTTGCTATGAGGTATTATAGTGTACTATCCAGATGGCCTAATATTATCATAAAAGTCATGAAAGAAAGAGCCAAAGTCAAAGAGAATCTGAAAGGACAGACCGAAGCTGTGGTCAGAGAGGGGAGGTGATTCCACACTCTTGGTTTTGTGGATGTAAGAAGGAACATGGCCAATGTGTGAAGGTAGACAATAAAATTTGAACAAGTCAAGATAACAAAATCTCCCCAGGGCTTCCATACTGATTTTTTACTATTGACCTCAAGGGTTGGAAGAAAATGTCTTTTTACTGTTTTAAAGCACCAAACTTATGAGAATTCATTATAGAAAATAATAGGAAACTAATACATCCCCATTTGCTATGAAAGAATAAAGCACATGAAATATCTGAGATTTCCTCACCTTTGCCATTTCCTTAAGGTACGCATCAATGAAGTCTCTGGGTTGATCAGGATTCCAATCTCTCCTGTGATTTTCAATCATTTGAACAACAAACATTTTCAATTTTACCCAGTATTTAATAACAGTTTGGTGAGATCCAGGAAGAAATTTCATTATCCATGGAAAGATATTGTAGAGCTGATGGATAAAAACAAAAAAATCATACACCTAACACTCTGTCCTTTTCCCCCATTTTCAGACAATGGAGAAAAAACCAAAACCCTCTTTTCATGTTTCTCTGATATTTGTTGACACGTAAACCTCGGAAGCATCCTTCACTCCTCTACCTCTCATCACTCTAGAAAAACATTTCTGTTTTCTACCTATAACAGGACCAGCCTCAGGCCAGTTTTTAATACCCCCCACTGCATCCTGGTGCAAAACACCAGCATATCTTGCCTGGATAATGGAACAGCCTCTGACAATTTTCCTGATTCCATCATTAATCACAGTTCAGTGTTTTCTCAGAGATCATTTAACAGTTTCAATACATTATTTCACTTCTTGACTCTCAACCCTCTCATAATTTCCTATTATCCTCAGAAAATACCTCTGTGTGACTACCTGACTACACAAGCCCTTCACAAACTGGTATTTTACTTACCTTTCACCACTGTGCCTACCACTCAGTACCAGCTTGCTACTCTCTATTGTGGACAGTAGGAAAAAGAAAGAAAAGCAAGGAAGAAAAGCAAAATGGGGAATTGCTGTCAAGACTCCATGAGTAAAACTTAGAGACTAGGAAATAGAATAGGCCATCCACTTCTGAAATAGCAAGTCTCTAGAAACAGTATGAATAATTGTTGTTTTTGCTAAGTGCTGTGAAGTTGACTACAAGTCATAGTGACTCTATGAACAACAGATACACAGCCTGCCCTATCCTCACTACTTTCCTGATCTCTGACATGCTCAAGTCTATTGTGGTAGTAACTTTGTCAATCCACTTTTTAAAAGGTGTATCTCCTTTTCACTGGCCCTCCACCTTTTCCAGAATGAGGTCTCTTTCTAAAACTGGTTCATCCTGAAAATATATTCAGAGTAAGTGAGACAAAGTGTCATCATCCTTGCCTCTGCGCAGCACTCAGAACACACTTCTTTCAAGACAGATTTGGTATGTTTAGTTCTCTTCGCTAACATCACAAATCAAAGGTATCAATACTTCCTCTTTCTTTCTTATTTATTGCCCAACTTTCAGATGTATAGGAAGCAACTAAAAATACCAAACCTTGAATCAGGTGCACCTGAGGCTTTCAACTGACATCCTTGTTCTTTAGAACTTTGGAAAAGTCTTTGATAGCAGGCAATGCAACACATATTTTGACTTCTTGACTGTTACTACTACGGGTGTTGATTTTGGATCCAAGTAAGATGAAATCATTGACAACTTTGATCTTTTCTCCATATCTCATGATGTTGCTGACTGGCCCAGTGGTGAGGAATTCCTTTTTTGTGATGGTGAGATGTAATACCTATTGAAGGCTGCAGGTCTTCCACAGTAAGTATTTTGAGTCTTCTTTACTTTGTACATGCAAATTTGTGTCATCTCCACAATGCAGGCTGTTAATGAATCTTCCTCTTATTTTGACGTCACATTTTTCTTCATTTAGTTCAGCTTCTTAAATTATTTGCTTTACATACAGGTTCAATAAATATGTACAAAGTATATAATCCTTATCCACACCTTTCCTGATTTTAAACCATGCGGTATTCCTTCGTTCTGTTCAGATAACTTTTTGATGGTTCATGTATAGGTTTGAATGAGCACAATTAAGTGTTCTAGGATCCTCACTCTTTTCAATATTATCCATAATTGTTATGATCTACCCAGTCAAATAATTTACATAATCAATAATCCGTAAGTAAACATCATTCTAGTGTTCTGTACTTTCAACCAAGATCCAGTTGACACCAAGATATCCCAATGCTATGGCAAATTCTGAATCCAGTTTGATTCCTAAGCTGTATGGAAAGAAAAACAAAAAATGAGCAGTAATTTTGACAAATTTACTAATCTACTAGGAACAGAGTTTAAGGTCTTTCATGGAAGAATAAAAGGTTTGGATCAGACAGGGCAACAGTCTAAAGAAATGAAATTTAATTGTTGATGTTAAATGCTGTCAAACCACTTCTGACTCATGTTATTGTTACTGCTGTGTACCACTGAGTTGGAATCAACCCATAGCTGATCCTCTGGTAGCTTTCAAAGGCAGTTAATGGCATGGGAGATTTCCCATCCTTCTCTCATAGAGCAGCTGGTGGGATTTGAATTGCGTGCCTTGGGTTTGCTGCGTAGCTTCTTGCTATTAGGCCACTACTGCTCCCTTCTGACTCATAGCAATCCTATTAATAACAGAATGAAAAAGGGCCAAGAGCAGTGCCATTCTTATAATAATTTTGTTTAAGACCATTGTTACAGCCAGAGTGTCAATCTTTCCCATTGACAGTTTTCCTCTTTTTGCCTGATTTTCTATTTTACAAAGCATGACCTCCACCAAGGTCTGGCCCCTCTTTATAACAGGCCCAGGAGTAAGAGAGATAGAGATTTGTCACTGTTCTTCCAAGAAGCACTGTGGTTTTACTTGCTTGCCCTTCTCACAGTCCATGGTACACTTAATGGTTTTCACTCAATTTACAATTCAAAGGCATGAATTCTTCTTTGATCTTTCTTTTTTATTTTCCAGATTCCACATGCTCATAGGGTGACTGAAAATACTATGGTCTGTGTTAATTGCTGGCTAGTCCTCATACTGGTACGTTTACAATGAAACATTTTAAAAATTTCTGTTGCAGCATATTTGCCCAATGCAATGCATTGTTTGATTTCTTGACTTTCTTCTATAGGCACTGATTGTATAGTAAAGTAAAATTAAATTTTTTATAACATTATTATTTTTTCTTCCTTTACCATAAAACTGCTTATCATTGAAGAAGTGAGAATTTCTGCTCTCTTTATGGGAGATGAAATCCATAATGAAGGTTTCTCATGGTGTCAAATCCCGCAGCAGCTCCACCAGAGAAATCTGATCAGTTTCCTTCCACTATTACTCACAGCTTTGGAAAGTAAAGGAGATTCACTATGAGTTAGACAAATCAGACGGCAGTGAATGAGGGACTGAATCCACACTAAAGATTCAAACCTTTGATGTTCTACAAGAAATCTTTGCTTTCATCAGGAAAATTTGCCTCATCTGCATATGTTGTTTTTGTTAAGTGCTGTTGAGTTGAGCCTGACTCAGTGGCCCTATATACAAAATCTCTGAGCCCTGCTCTATCTTGAGCCAATTACATTGTCTCTGGCATCCCCATTACCCCAGTCAATGAGTCAATACATCTCATTCAGGGTCTTCCTCTCTTGCACTGTCCCGTCACCCTTCTAAGCATGATATTCCTCTTCAAGGGCTGGTCCCTCTTTGCTGCGTACTCAAGTAT